TTTCATCATTATTTACAAATTCATGTACTATTCTATTATTTTTGTGTGAAAATCCATACCAAGGATGACTATATATGTTGACATTTGCTTAATCCATAATAAACAAGTCTGATGGTTAAATATCACAACATACAGTCATATCAGCTTATACGAAATCAAGTTGTTTCACTTCGCTGTATTGATAACAGTGTCTAGTTCGATAAGCGAAGGTTGACTTATCTCATATTGGACTGAATAAATAAATATGAATAACAGAGAGAGAGAACTCATATGTTTACATGAATAAATATGATAATTAGAAGTATCTGAATTATAGTATGAACTAAGAATCTCAGAAATAACGTAATCAAATCAAGAAGTACTAGATAGGCACAAACGAATGTACTGTATTTAGAATTCGAAATCAAGCATTCAACAAGTACACAGGTATCATTATTTCATTCAAACACCACATCCGCCACAGCTTAAATTGGAGTCTAGGTGTTTGTAATCAGTTGTACGTCTTCTCAAGTTTATCCTGTGTCTGTCGGACAGTGTATTGGATAAGGACTCTGTATTATCTAGAATGTGCTCATTAGCATTAAAATTAACAACCGAAATCGGGATAGACTCACCTGGTTTCTGGAATTGTATTTGATCAACATGTCGATTGTGTGTACTTAAGTCATTGATATCTAGAATTTGCACCATAGGTTTCCCGACATTCTTCAGAACGATCCCCGTGGATGGTCGAAGATCATTTCCACGATAATATGTAACTTCTGCAGACTCCAAACATCTCATATTTGACCGAACAATTCTCCCTTTTAATAGCTTTGATGGAGTCTCTTTCGTCACCGAATGCCTGGCATTTCTATATTGCAGTAGAAAGGTATCTACTCCTCTCCTCAGCTCATTAAATGTTGAGGCGGCAATAGAATCAATAGCAGTCTTCAATGTCCTGACAAAATTTTCTGTCTGATCATTAGAACAAGGATGTATGGGAGCAGTAAACAGATGTTTGCACCATATACCATTCAACCAGATAGTGGCTGCATCTGCAGCAAAATGAGAGCCATTATCGGTCACTAACACCATGGGCACCCCTTCTCGACTAAACACCTTTCTTAATGCTTGGATTGTGAAATCAGAATTTGGTGAAGTTGTAAAAAAAAATTTCAGGCCACTTTGAAAAATAATCAGTGCATAGTATTTGCCAAGAAACGGACCACAATAGTCTGCATGAATTATCTGCCAGGCCTCAGACGATACTGGCCATGGAGTCCACTTCGAAGGATGATTTTTCAACTGATGACATTTTTCACAATTGTTTGCTGTACGACATGTCTGCATTTATCTCTGGCCGCCAACATGTGAGCCTTGTCAAGGAATTCATTTTCTCAACACCTAAATGACCACTATGAAGATCTTCAAGGACAGATTTACGCAATGAAGGAGGAATAACAACACGATCATTTAAACACAAAATACCATCAGGAGTAGTAGATAGCTCATCCTGCTTTGAAAAATAGATAGGAAATCTACGTTTCAGATTAGCATTCCAGCCTTTCCGTATAGCACTGAGTATACATCCAAAGTATCTACGAGTTTCTCTAATGATATCTGGACGTCTCACTGGTAAAGGCTGCACTAACAAACGGTCTGAAGTATCAACAGGTCTATCTTGCAGTGATTGTCGAGAAATGTAATCAACGTGTTGAATTTGTTTGGCACTTCTGTGCTGAACCGTATAGTCATATTCACTCAAAGCAATACTCCATCGTTGAACCATAGCAGCTAAGGAACGTGCTAAAGATTTTTCAGGATGATAAATAAACTTTAAAGCTTCATGATCAGTAACAATAGTGAACTTCTTTCCGAATAAATATTTATGAAGTCTCTTAACAGCCCAAACACACAGCTAATGCTTCTCGCTGAGTCTGTGAATAACCTTGTTCAGTAACAGTAAGTTTGCATGAAACACAAATGACTGATCTACCTTCCTGCTCCAAAACTGCGCCAATACCCACAGGTGATGCATCAGTAATAAGCACAGAATGTACACTAGGGGAGCAAGTTCGAAGAACAGCATCACTTTGAAGAAACTTTAGTAGACTTCGTAAGCACGACTCCTGTTCCTCACCCCATTTGAATGAATTGGATGTCATAATATTAAATAAACAATTTGCACGACAAGAAAAATTAGGAATAAAACGGGAATAGTATTGAAGAGTACCCACTAGTGAACGTAGTTCCGTAAGATTTTTTGGAAACGGTGCATTTGTCTGTGGAGCCAGTCGTTTCATTTCTTGTCTAATACTATTATCATCAACTAGGTATCCAAGACATTTGAAACTAGATACTCACAATGAACACTTATTTGGATTCACTATAATATTCTTCTCAATTAAACGCTGCAATAAAGCAATAAGTCTCCTGTCATGAGCTACCTTATCAGAACCATGAACAATGAAATCATCTTGATAAACTTCAACAACTTCAAGATCACTGACTACCTTATTCATAACTTCCTGAAATATGGCTGGAGAACAACTTAGATCAAATGGAAGGAAGTTGTATGTGAACAGACCAAAAGAAGTATTAATTGTCGCCAAAATAGATGAAGATTGATCTAAAGGGATTTGAAGATAAGCATCTTTTAGGTCAACTTTCGAGAACACTTTAGAACCATGAAGTCGATTTAAAATATCTTCAGCCTCTACCGTCGTGCACGTTTGCTTCAACAAACGGGAGTTCAATGTTAATCTATGGTCACCACATATTTTAGGGGTCTTGCCGTCCGACTTCAGTGGCGTAACAATAGGAGTACCCCATGCTGAAGACTGAATCAGTTCAATTATGCCTTTCGCACACAAATCGTTTAAAGTCTCATGTACTGCTTCTCGAAGACCATAAGGAATTATTCGTCTTCTAAGAAAGACTAGATCACCCTGTACTTGAAGTTTTATGGGCTGAATTTTCATACCTTCACTGCAATTAGCACACGTAGCTATCAAATCTTTAAGTAAAGCATCAGAGTTTTCTTTAGAAACTAGGAAAGACAACTCCACTTTAAGCCTTTTCAAATTCTTTAAACCCAGTATTGACAGTCCTGTTTCGCTAACTAAAATTTCACAAGGTATGTATGAAGAATTATCATCTCTTATTAGCGATTCACAACATCCTCGTATGGGCAGTCTGTGTCCAGTAATCCCCAATATTGATACCTCAGTGGGTCGTACCACAACGTTAGGATCTAAAGATTTCAAGTTCTTGAATGAAATAATGGACTCTATACTGCATGTGTCCACAATAAAGTCATGAAATGAACCAAGTGATGTATATAACCGCTTTTGAATATGAGCATTACCTTTCGAAATAGTAGACAAAGATAAATGATCATTAGGAACAGCTGAATTAGTGGGATCTAAATTACAAGATTTAGTACTACTTGAAGCAAAATGGACAGTAGTTTTGCATACTGACTGAATGTGTCCTATCTTACCACATTTAAAACATTTAGCATTACGAAATGCACATGAATTACGAGAATGAAACTTTCCACATGATAAACATTTACCAAACTTGATCTCACCTTTGTGATTTGCTTTGTAATTCCTTGTTGAAACACCTTTCATATTTACACGAGAATAGGAATCACTGTTAAATGAACGCAAGTTTGATTGACCCTGAGATTGTATTTCATCATGACGACTAAGCAAAGTATTAGAAATCTTCATCGACTGGATATAAAGCTCATTCACTGCCTCGTAGTTAATACACGCAGTTCTAGCATCTTGAAAGGAACAGTTCGGCATTCTTAACAGCTCTCTTTCCAAACCCGGTATGTTAATTCCTGCAATTAATCGATCTCTCAGTTGCACATGAAGTTGACCACCGAAATTACATTTGGAAGCTTATTTCTGCAATTCAAGGACGAATTCCCTAACCTTTTGATCATTTCGACGGACCATCTTATGGAATTTCGCCCTTTCACGGCATTCAAAACTAGTGTACTTTACATGATTTATTAATAGATCCTTAAGAGTTGCATAAGGAAGTGAGATAGGTTTTTCTGGATATGCCAAAGTTTTTAATAAACTGTACGCTTCTCTTCAGATGAATGTCAGGAAATGTGCCACAATTTTATCACCTTTAACATCTTTCTTGGTCATGCTCCAGATTTCAAACCTTTCCAAATAATCCTCAAAGGCTTCAGAAGTTGAATGAATATCTAACTGTTCCATCGTAAGCTCCATCGCGACGCCAATATGATAATTAGAAGTATCTGAATTATAGTATGAACTAAGAATCTCAGAAATAACGTAATCAAATCAAGAAGTACTAGATAGGCACAAACGAATGTACTGTATTTAGAATTCGAAATCAAGCATTCAACAAGTACACAGGTATCATTATTTCATTCAAACACCATATCTTTTATGGTCCATTTAAGTATTTTGTGTGACCTAATCATTTTAGTAGAAGATACGCATTTTCTATGCTTGACTTTTTCTAATTTTAGAGAATTTTTATATTACTATAATTTAATCGCTAATATAGTTGAATAATAGATCACAGTCTAATGCTTTCTGTTTCGGTTCATACATTCTAGCTAATGACAGTAATACTATCAGGCTCTCCAAATCCAAGTAGGCGGGTATAGGTTTCAACCCATAGCAGCGTATTTATGCCATAGTCTTCAATAAATATTAAATCTCCCTTTTAATTAACTATTTTCCCTCGTAATTATACAAACTCGCACTTGAGATTATTCGCTTTACAAGACTGCAATTTTGGGAGGCAGCACTAAGGAGTGAAAAACTACTCTATTGAACATGCCTAATTAGATTTATAAAAATCAACTAAATTCGGGTCATTAAAATTTCTGTTCCCGGCTGGTTTGTGTTTTCATGTAACCAAAAAGCTCAATGGTATAATTTTTATAAAAAACCTAGGCTTGTTTTTTCTTGAATTATCAATTGACAATGTATTACGTTTATCCTCCTTCAAATTTCTAGACAATAATGATATTTGGTAAACGTATACGTTATGTGACCGTACCAAAATTAATTGATATTTCATCAACACTTGCAGAATGGGAGTCCAAAAGTCAAAATGGTAGAATATTTTTATCTAGACCAATAAAATCATCAAAACCTTTAAAGGAGAGCCAGATTAAAAATAATGAGAATGAATTGTGTCAGTCAAGAATGACAAATGATCATTTTGTAGATATTAATTATGTCGATAACACCGAGAATATTCCGTGGCTGGAACAATCTGATCTAGAACAATTAGCATCTATTGGTGTAAAGCCGACAGGTGATAAAAAAGTTGATTTAGTTATGGTGCAAACCTTAAAAGTACTAAATAACCCATTGTAGTAACGGTATATTTGTTCGGTTAACTTGAATGCATTAAATACAACTATGTTTGTGTAAATATTTTGATAGGATACATTTAATAGTGCTCACTTTTAACGTACATCTTTTTTTGTATCATTCTACAAACGATTTTTTTGGAGTTAATGATTGATAAATTGAACTAACACACATACTTACCAGGTTCTGAGTTGTTGATTGAACGTTATTATTATTCATATAATTTCATTTCAAGATTAACAATAGGGAAGATATATAAACTGTTGAATCGTCTCACTGTTTTTCACGACCCATTTATAACCCAAGACAAAAGTACTTAATTTCTGTGTCTTTTAGTTTCATCTTGTCATATGGTAGGTTTAGTGATAAGGAATCAATAAAATCAGTTACATTTCAAAGTTTATGGACTGAAATTTAATTCCCAGTGTCGTACTTTAACCTAACCGTGAATTTTTAAATATTTATGTAGAAATGAAACACCCGTTTTTATTATTATTATTATTATTATTATTATTAGTATTATTATTATCATTATCATTATCATTATTATTATTATTATTACTATTATTATTATTATTATCATCATCATCATCATTATTATTATTATTATTATTATTATTATTATTATTATTATTATTATTATTATTATTATTATTATTATTGGCTTACGAGCATAATCCAGTTTCATACGTTCTTAACTATCGTTTTGTAGTTAAAGAGTTAAACGTATTCATACTTTATACCCCAGGAACGATCACATTGTGTGACAAAGGTAGCTTTCAGTCAACCAAATATTTGATAAGAGTCCACCAACCTTTGTCTTTTAAACATGTAGGATAATATTATGCAAGAAAATACGGTGATTCTTTTTCACTGATAAAAATGTGCAACATTGGTATACAAAGAACACAAATAATTAGGAATGAAGTGAATATATATGCAGTAATCTTAGGTGCCCTAGCAGATTAAGACGAACGTGCTGGACATATACATCAGTTGATAACGAATCTAAGGGACTTTTATTGAATCTTATTACACTAAATTTTAGAGAAATCGTCAAGAGTTTGTGTTTTTTCGAAATTGTGGCTTTCTACAAGATATTGAAACTGTCGTACGGTTCACCGATTGCTTTTTCGGATGCGTTTGCTACTATGTTAATAGAACTATGGAGTCTACGCGTGAGCATCTTTGTCTTCCATCATTCCAAGGTTTCCGATGGATAGTCAGGATGGTTTTGAGAACATAGGTTGTCATACATAAATATGATATGTGGTACTGGTAACTGGTAACACGTAGGGAATCCCTCGTTACTTGTCTAAGGTCAGGGTACAAGTTGAGTAGCGGTTAAAAATACGGATTGAAAGTACACTTAGCTTCAACTGAACGCGAATCCATAGCTTAGTGTTTCCATGTAGAAACCTTTATTTACTTGGATGGTTGCGCAATTTCCGAACAGATCTACGACTCAGCTATTAAAACGTCTGCTGTAACTTGATCAAACTCATTATGACATAAACGCAACTTTTTCAGTAAGTTTTTCACTTATCGCCTGTAGTTAAAGCACGGTTTCCCACTAGAGACTGGTCAAGGCTGTGAGGAGAATGCCATTTTTTTGCCAGAATCTATGAGATTGCAAACGTTTGTCATTAACTCGTGAATATATAATAATAGTAATTTATTCTAAATGACCCCAAGTTGAATGAAGCATGCTAACTTATAGACAAGGTCAAATTGTTGCGAATGTTGGATTTTTATTACATTGAACTCGTTTACTCATTTTGGTTGCTGCTTCATGATGGCAAGTTTTCTGCAGAAGCAGGATAAAACAATAGTGTGCAAATTGATGATTGTCGGACGAAAATGGATTGTATAGTGCAGAAGATGGCGCGCCATATGGGTGCTGCGTTACGAGGATGAACTCTTGGTAGTATATGCTGCAGGGGTCATACAGTTTATAAAAAACGTAACGACCACGGTTATTACCAACGAGTACCGATGGACTAGTTATGTCCGTAACTTAAGAGACCATCTGTACTCTTCCTTCAAATGTCCACTGCCTCCATCTGATCTTGGTGTTCCGTCCTCACATACTACCAATTGATGAATTTGACTAAGTTGCTCAAGTCTACTCACTTTGTTATACCTACTGTTATTTATGTTTAGCTCCCACTTTTTCTAACCGACTGCTTGCTTGAGATACCTACATAGATCACATTATTTACATTTCACATACATATAAAACATTAGGGATCGAATTTGACCTGTTTCTACCATTTCCTACCCTCCAGAATGCACACTGTTATGGGACAGGTCTAAAAAAGCTACCTTCGGCAGGACTGTTCTTGAAGTAGTTTCTTGGGTTAAAGACTCCATGTTGCTATGGTTGGGCCAGATAAGATGAATCCTCGACTTGCGAATCTCCTGTGTACTGGATGCCTAGTAGATCGCTTTTCCCTTTTGTTGAGCTCTCGGTTCATAGTTTGTTATGATTTTGCCTTGGCTAACTATATGGTATGCAAGGTTTTAATCCTAAGGTCATATTTTTCTTCAATGTGGAGGGGACCTTCATTAGGCCCGTTTTGGCTTCTGCTTTCCTGTTTTGGTAGTTATTTACATTCATTCATTATCTTCAGTAAGGGTTATGGACATTGCTGAATTTCATTGAAATCATGAACTGATCAGCGCTAGACCACCATTAGAGACCTGGAAGCACTGGACAGCCATTTCTTTCTAGTATGGGACTACTCAGCAGTAAGCATCCACGATCCCGCTTTCTCGCGAGATCGAAAGCCCTGGGTTCGAGTCTCACGTGCAGGATCGTGGATATTCACTGCTGCGTAGTCCAATACTAGAACGAACTGGCTTTCCAGATTTCCACCTATTATTATATTACCACCGTTGAATTAACCACATCTATGGATTTGGTATTCATCTTGTTGTGCTAATGAAATATGGCAACATCGACCGATGCGTGTATGTGTCTGGTTCTATGTTGTAGCTGACTGACTTACTATAGTAATTATAGCTGCGCGTCAGAACCCTTTTTGCTGTTCACCCGTATCATGGTATCCGGTATTTCTTTGTTTCACAGAGTCTCGATGGATTTCACGGGACCTACTCTAAACAAGTTCGTCAGTGAAGAACCTGAGTATTTCCCTGGGATATTAGGCTTGAATACTTAGTGGCAAGTATACCCAGTTTCAGGACACAACTGCATAAAAATTTGCCTGCCAAACACGATGAACCCAACCATCTCCAACCTACCAATCAAAGTACATGCATAGTGTCTATCGTCTCTTTAAATTTTGATAGATGTTTTTCCGTTTGAAGTTCGGTTCTGTCTACTTTATAGATTCCTTGGAGTTGATTGTATTTTAATCAACCGAATGACCTATCAATACAAATTATTTTGGATTTTATTTCGTATATTCTAGGTCAGATTTTCCTCGTTTGTGCGCTTCAACTTGCTTTAGGGGGACAATTAGTCACCTTGTAGGATCTAGTTCAGAGGATAATCTAAACTATCGTAAAAGTTACAGTAATGTATGAGGTATAAAGGGTCGTCAGTTATACTGACCTGGGTCACTCGCGTTTTTGGCGGTCCTTGTAGTTCATGGTGAGCAGTGTGATGTTAGGAAAAGCTGTATGTATCTTCATGGATCAATGGTAAGCGAATTCCAGATCATATTGAGGAGTTAGAGACTTGTGAAAAAGGTGACATCGGCTTTATTCGTAGGCATTTTCTTTCATTCTCTAAACATTTGTCCCCAGTACATGTACTCTACAATACCTTTCTGTCCGAATTAAAGATGTGTTTAATTATTAAACGCTTAAGTTCCCATAACACATCTGTGAACCTAATTGTACTAGTCGGAAACAGGCCTTTATTTTATTGCTGGAAATACTAAGACAGATATTTACTCCAGCAAGTTCGCAAATGGAAAAGAAGAGGCTTCAAACTTGGCGAAACTGCGTAGTCTGGTGTTCTAACATTCGCTTAGCCGAGGCTTGATACCAGAAAAGAAGAAGCTGACACAGAAAACCTTCAAGCTACTGTCAGGTAGAACATCACTTTACACAGTAAAAATATGCAGTCCTTGTTATACAATGATATACGTAACTACTTAATATCCATTAACTTCTCACACCAACAGCACAGTCTCGATAAGGGTCACTATTCTATGAGCAAGTAGCTGATCGTGGTGGACAGACGGAAAACTACCATTTGTCCCAAAGTAAAGTAGTTCGTCTGAGACATGATGCAGAATGTGTGTACAAATTAGGTATTTACATTCGATATATCTCGAGTTGAAAATGATATGGAAGTGTTGGTGTCCTATAATTTAATGTCTTGCACTAGCTGCATTAAAATTGCCTTTCGAGCATCTCTCACACTTGTAACATTTAGGTTAATTTTTGGCAAGTTTGACTGTAGAACTATGCACTTAGCCGTCGACCGTTTTATTCGACCCACCTGGAATGTGAAAACATGACGTTTCTAACCTCACTGCGAAACGGTAGGGATACAATGGAACCTATCCACCGTTAAGCCAAAAAATCGATTCGGGAATCAAATTCAAGCTTTATGTAGAGGATCTCAAATCATTCATTAGAGTATAGGCGTCTTTAAGATGACCTTCTAGTGACTTAGAGAAGATTGAACACTTATGGACATCCCATTAAATACCCACTTCATCTCAGGCCCAATCAAACTTGGGGGTAAAAACCGAAAATGAATGTAGGCACACCTACTTTTTAAGAGTAGTCAAATGCCGGAATTCGCTACCGGTTGAGACAGTTCGAATGACTTCCAAGGAGTCCTTCAAAGGAAAACCTGACATATTCTTAAGGACTAAGGACAGTATCTTGCCATAGTCTATCAATGGTTCTTCCCTTTTATCCATAAATATACCTAGCGGCATCGGTGATTCACTGTCAGCAGATATAGAAGCCCACTAAGCGAGAGCTTCTATTCCGTTCAAAGACAGTAAACCAAAAACTTCTAATGACAGCATCTTAAGCACTTTTGGACATCTCCTTGAATGCCTATTTAAGCTCAATCTCAAAATATACCAATTAAAGTGCAAGAGTTATGTGACAAATATTTTATAGCTTACTCGATTAAACAATATACAGACAATATCAGTTTTTTAAGAGTAATATAAAATAAATTGATTTTTGTTCACATTTTCATATAAGTAACTGAATTTTCATGTGCTCCAGTAGCGACTGAGATATCTGTATCTCATGGTGTCATCCTTTTATAACTTTCCAATAACTTAAGGATCTCTGGCTTGATTTACTTTTTTTGTATTTCGGAACACAAAATCCAAATCTTGTGTACGGCGTAGTAAGAAACCAATCAATTTCTCTATTGACTGTAAGAATTACCTGGCTACGACTCCTTTGGATATATTTAGAAACACATATTTGACAAGGGAGCTTTTATTTGAAACTAAAATGACTGCTTTCCATAGGTCGTGTAAATCATGTCGAATTCAGTAAAGCGTGGGGTGCTTATTAACTGACGTAACAGACACCTCAAATAAAGGTACGTAATATTTTGCAAATTGTTTTCTACTTAGATTCAGCAAGCAGTAAACTTTCATAATGGAA